TATGATTTTACCCCATAACCCACTTTCACGCACCTTCACGCGCGGTTCTTGAGGGCTAAAACGTTAGTTTTCCGACAAACTTTATAAATCACCGATGTCAAGGTCAAAACTTAGGCAAATCTGTTCAAATTCTTTCAAAGTCAATCCTAAGGTCAAGCTTTTCCCAACTACACCACAGAGGTCCGGAAATCATAGATAATTCAATCAACCTCGCATCAACGGTCATTCTACAACAATCAACAATCAACTGCTGAAGCCTTCCCTAACTCATCAACATTGTGTGATCCTCAAACATGCTGGAATTCAAAATGATGAGCTTAGGGAAACCGTCATGTGTGGTACTTGTTCAGATTGCTCCACACACATGGCGGGTATGACGAGCTGTGAGCAATCAAACCTTGCACATTCTGAGGGGGAGTTTCAGTTTTCTCCTCCTGGTGCCTTACACCGACAAAGCAAGGAATCTCTCAACGGATGCAACATTTTAGGGGGAGTGTTCAATGTTATCCTCCCCGGTGCCTAACAATGACAAATCATACCGAGTGCTCCAGTTGAGGGGGGTACAAAGAGAATCAAGAAAGTAATGAGAGAACATATCCCTATGGCTTAGTAAACTCAACTAAGCTTACCCAAGGGACAAAGCCGAACGTAAGTGAGTGAGTGAGCGAGTGAGTGAGTGAACATTATGAGCATTAGGAAGCAGAAGGCTCAAGTGAGCAAGGAAACAATAATTAATGATAAGTCTGCTACCTCAACTGCCAGCTATCAATTGAACATTTACTCCTAGCCACTCAAATACTATGGACAATCCCCATAGGTTCAGGGCTGTTTTAATCAGATCCCGAGTAGAAGTCATTGCATCTTGTCCAACAGTGCATGCTTAACCCTACCCAAGACCACTCACTTGTCTCCCAACAGACATGTGTTTAATCATATTTCACGGGGAACCACAACTCTCATTACTGTCTTCCTCTGAGTCAAGTGATACTGGCTACAGTGGCCACAACCTCATGCCACTGAACTTTCATCGATCACATCGTGTCTAGTTACTCACTCCCAAATGTTTTGAAATTTTCTAGGACACAAACGCACTTTTTGAGTCAGTTGTAGGTCTACATGACCCGCGAGAACTTCCATAGAGCTCATCTATTACAGATGTAGACCAATGATTGGAAGGGAGTCCCGATGTTGCAACATAAGAATCACCAACATTTTTAGGTCATCGCTTCAGAGTTTATCTCTATAGTGATGATAACGGGCGTCTACAAGACCCCGGGGGCTACATTATCTTTACTGACCTTTATGGTCATGCCATAACAACCAGAGTGACATCTTTTCGGATGCTTCACAATGACTGGTTGGAAGTCGTGTTAGAGCTTAATAATGCTTCTATCATTATATACAGGCCACACATCGATGTTTACATTGATGTTGTGTTAACGGAACACATTAGTGTATCCGGTTTTTGCATTTCAACATTCTGCTTGTTTTTCTTGTTTTATTTCCGCATAATAAAAGAATAAAGGCATGACGCCCCGATTCATCGGACCGTCATGAGGGGGAGAGTGTTCCACATGTTGTTTAACCCTCAAAAATCATTCACGGACACTTCTCTCTTCCAACACCTTCTCTACTATCTCTATCAAAAGCTCCAAATGGTCAGCTACGCTCACAAGTCAACCATCATTTTCCGCTGTGCCACCGACAAGGTCTCCTCAAACGCATTCATTTCGAATAGTCAAAAAAACTACATTGTGGAGGGGACAAAGGTCAGATACTCAAACTGTTAAAGATGAATTCCATGGACGTCTCCTATTCTCTAAAGAATATTCATTCTAGAGGCGTCACCAGACTTCGTCCAAGCTGATCAAGAGTAACTTCTGGAAGCCAAAGACTACATGCAAGATACTGAAGATCCCTCAACCCCCGGCATCAAAGATCAAATTGCCAAGAAGACATCAAAGGGGAGATTGCAAGGATTTCTTCAGGAAGCCTTCCTCAGAAGTCAAGTTCAAAGACAAAGGAAGCTGAATAACAACAAACACAAAGATATCTGCGCTGCAATGCTGATTCGACACGATTGAACACCAAGGGGGAGATTGTTAGGAATGTTTTATGGTGCCCAATCTAATTAAATATCTTTGTATTTGTGTAGTTATTAATTAAATGTGTAATATGGGCCACAAATGTGTATCAGCCCGTTAGCTTCTTTGTAATCCATAAGTTAGCCAACTTCTCCTATAAAAGGAGGCTAACTTATGGAAACCCTAACGATTGAGGCTTTAGAGAATAGAGGCGCAGAGATAGAGAGATTAGGTTTTCCGCTGCTCTCTCTCGAGGGAGAGCAACGGCACTCTACACGGTATACCAGATTCGTTTGTTCATCTCATATCTTTCTATCTGCTTCTTGTTCATTGCTTATGATTGTTTGATTGTTAGTCTACTGGGTTTATCAAAGTTCAAAACATTAGTCCTAATAACACTTAAGTTATTTACAATTTAATATTATTATTGTGTATTGTCACATGTCAATCCATGTCCATAAAATTGCTGATAAGCTCATATTGTTTTTGTACAATATCTATAAATGAGATCAGCAGTGTTCAAATTTCAATTTTCCTAATACGTGTGGTTGGGAAGTATTGAATATAAACTTCATTTTATTCAAACCTTTAAATGGAATATGACAAATAATTAATAGGAAAATAAGAGAGTAAAAAAGGAACGGGGTTGACTAAATAAAAAATATTGTAAGTGGAGAGTTTATAAACAAAGAATCGCTCTTTGTCCTGAATTTAAGAAAAAGCTCAAATTGATTCATGTGATTAAGATTTATTTTGAGTTTAATACATTTACTTTGTCAATATTTCATAATAGTGATGATCAACAATACACATACAACAATTTGGTGAATTTAAGAATAAGCTCAAAAAAATTTCATCCACAATTTGTATGACCAAATATACGCGTTTACATGACAAAAGTCTGTTTTAATAAACTTTTCCCTAATTTACAAATATCATTCTCCCGTGCATCGCATTAAGATAGAGAACTCGTAATTATAATCAAAGTTAGCGCATTAAGATAGAGAACTCGCATTAAGATAAAATACTAGTACTCAAACAAAGCTTAGAAAAAGTAAGAAATCATTATATTTTTATTTAATTATTTTTTTTAATCAATTAAGCCCTTCACGTTAAAATCAAATTTTTAGAATGAGTAAATGTGAAATTTTAAACATTGAATATACATTAAATTTTTGAACCACATACATAGATTACTTATACTTCTCAAAAAAATACGTAGTATTTGAAAGTGAACTCGTAATTATAATCAAAGTTAGCGTATTACATTCCTTTGTGTGTACTCTCAAAAAAATGTCGTATGAGTGCAATTTATGAATAAATACCACATTTTACTTTTTTGTCTAAGATTATTTGGATTTTCATTTTCTTCACAAGATGCCGGACAAGCGAAAACAAAGTATATAAAGTAGGAATAACATTGGTACACGAGGTACTGCAGTTATTAAAAAAATTGAGTTTATGTAATTATGTGGTTGATACTAAGTTGATAAAATAAGAATGATTTATAATTGCACAAAATTTACCAAATTTGATATGAAACAATATTAGTGGAACGGATAAAAAAGAAAAATGGAACATATTTAACAGGACGCAAGAAATAATATTTTATCCCTTCATCGCATAAATAACATACTAGTATATTTAGAGCCCGTTTGGTAGCACTGAAATTGACTGAATCCGCTGATTCTGTTGAAATTTCTGAAGTTCCGACTGAAGTGATTGTATTGACTAATTATGATGATTTAAGAAAAATTAATATTTAAACTATATTTTAATAATGAAATAAAGAAAAAATTATATGAAAAATAACTAAAATGGTCATCTACAGTAACTTCAGTCAATACAGTCAGAAAACAATATAGTGCTCAAAATCAAAAGTTACGTGTTTTGTTAAAAAGATGACCGATAAGCTGAAAAACAGAGTCACCTGTTGGAAATTTGCCAACATTTTTAGTATTGCCATAATAATGCCAGATTCAATAAGAATTTTGGTATTATAAAGAGTAATAATGCCATTTTCTTGACATTTTCGGGGAAAAAGGGAATTTTTTACAAAAATGACAAATTTTTCACCGATTGGAGGTGGTGATGTTGGGAGGCGGTGGGAAAAGTATCCATTTCTTTACATTTTTTTAATGTTTTTTTACTTTTTTTATTGATTTTAAAAAAATAAAAAAAATTATTATTTTTATTTTATAAACAGGGAAAACAGCCGATTTGGTCCTCGTACTTTCATGAAAAAGTCAATTAGATCCTCATACTTTTAAAAAAATAAATCAAATCCCTGAACTTTGTAAAAACGTTCAATTGAGTACATTTACAGGTTACTCGCCATGTCAGCAGGTCACCCGTTGACGTGGCGTACACATGGCAGTCCACGGGTGCGCCACATCATCAACAAAATGGCTGACCAGAATTCCACATGTGTGTCATCATTTTCATTTACCCCAGTGCCGCAAAGACTCCCACATGTGTGTCACGTCAACAAAATTATTTGTTATTGGATTGCCACATGTGCACCACGTGAGCGGGTGACCTGGTGACATGACAACTAGCCTGCAAATGTACTCAATTGAACGTTTTTACAAAGTTCGAGAATTTGATCGATCTTTTTAAAAATAAAAAGATCTAATTGACTTTTTAATAAAAGTACGAGGACCAAATTTTCATTTTTCTCTTATAAATATTTTATTATTTTTTACGATTTTTTAATACGGAGTATTTTTTACGATTTTTATTATTTTTTAAAATTTTATTATGAATTAAAATATTTCATTGTGAATTAATATCCTTAGGGATATTTAGCATAGAAATCAATGATAATTCCATTTAAATTTAGTAAGCCTATTTGAGAAATTTGGAGTTTTTAATCCTATATAGAGCAATTTATATAAAAAAAAGTTGTGAAACAGCCTGAAACTGTCTTTTTCCGTCTTTCTCACTCTTTCTTCATGTTTTCCACGCTATAGCTAATGTGCTATTAATTCTTAGTATCTTGGTCACAACTCACAAGTACAAGCAGCTGCTTCACGAGTTGAGGGCATGACAGGCGTTGATTTACTGACGATGGTGTTTGTGATGGCGGCGGCCACCGTGTCACTCGCGGTGGCAAGAGCTGGAGCCCAACCAATCCCGAAAGGTGTAATGACACTGGAAAGGGCTTTTCCGACGAACGCGAACATGGAGGCCAAGGGGCTTAGAGCTCGGGATCGGCTAAGACATGCTCGAATGTTGCAGAGACTTTCCGGGGGCATCGTCGATTTCTCAATTGCAGGGTTGGCGGATCCAAACATGCTCGGGTACTTTCACCCCCAACCAGTTATTTTACTAAAAAATGACTATCTTTTTGCGCATTCAAGTTCAATTACCTAGTGCCGTTGTTGTATTTGTTAACTGTATAAGGCTCTAAAAATTTTATCTTTTCAAGTAGTTATATTTAAATAGGTTTGTGCTGGAGGATTCAAATGCACATCAATGCAATGACAGTGCATGTATTAATAATCTTGGTAAATATTGTTGGACTTCGAAAATATGGAGTTGTAAGGAAACAATCCCATTTTCTATTTACATTTTTCTTTTTGTTTCATGCATTTCCTTTTGTTTCTATGGGTAATAGATTAGGATTATCAGCTTAATATAAACCCAGCTATCCTCAAATTCACAAACCTATGATATCCTTTAAATTTCATTAAAAAAGTCTCAAGCCTAATCTTTTTTCAAGAAAATACTTTCAGTGGATTAATTAGTAATAAGAAAATATTTTATTTCTTTCTAGTTTTAAGTTGAGAAACTAGTATTACTTATAAATTTTTATACAAACTTTTATTTCTACAAAAGAATGTGTTTACTTGTGTAGAAACTTGTTTTACGAATAATCAAATTGTTGTACAAAATATATGAAATATAACTAGAAAGATAAAAGTGTCACATACAGTTCTATATGGAAAGAGCTCAAAGTTTTCTTGGTAACAAATAAATTTTACGAAACAATAAATATTAGTGTTTAAATTACTTTAGCAACTTCTATAAAAACATTAATGTATCTGATGGTTAGTTCATGGATAAGTGGGGTACATTTTTTATTATTTTTGAGATTTTCTAAAAGAATCAGTTATACTCCCTCCGGTCCTTATTTAACTTTACACTTTCCTTTTTGGGCCGTCCCATATTAAACTTTACACTTCCTTATTTGCCTTATTTGGCAAACAAATCTACACCAAACAGTGCAAAACAGTGTCAAACAGTGCCAAACAGTGTCAAACAGTGTACTCTACAGTAAAGTCAAATTTATTTCCTTAATATGTGTGAAGTCAAAGTGTAAATTTCATTAAGGACCGGAGGGAGTAGATTTTTATATATATATATGATTAGTTTTTCATTATTTGATTGTAGTTCATGGTCAAAATCATGAAGAAAAATAAAATTTAATAATTAATAAATACTATGTAATTTAATAGTTAATAAATATTATGTAATTTATAAAATTATTAATACTGACGTGAAAATATAATTGTTGAAAAAGATGAAGTTTGGGTCTTTTTTATATATAAAAGATAAAGAATAGGATATATTTTTTGAATTTGGTGATAGTTAGGGATAGATAAGCTAATAATCCTAATAGATCATAGAATTTGACTGTGGGAGCGTGGGCATTCAAGAATGTAAGCTGGAAACTTATCCCTTTTTGGCCTTTGACTCCTCTATTTTACACTTTTTTATTGTGATTTCTTTTGTAGGCAGGATGAGGGTTTTAGAGCTTGTAGAGTTGTAGAGGTTCAAACTAATAGGAAAATGAAAAATAAAAAAGTTAAAAGGAGAAGTGAAAAGGTGGCATTCCATACGTGGCACATGTGTATTTGATAATGAAAATAAATCCATGTGATGAATGACAACCACCGTATTAATGTCTTCTGAATGTCACATTTAAAATTTGCTGAAAACATCATGTCAACGATGTGATCTGGTGGAATTTCTTGCAATGAAATTTAGCATCCCACTAATTTAATGTGTCATAAGCTCTTCTGTTGACTTATTTCTTTCTCATTACTGAATGATTTTGGTGTGACTACAGTCTTTATTATGTCAAAGTAAAATTGGGTTCTTCTCCTAGAGAATTCAATGTACAGTTTGATACTGGAAGTGACATCCTATGGGTTGCATGCTCTTCCTGCGTAGGTTGTCCTAGGAGTAGCGGCCTCAGGGTAAAACAGTCTACCCCCTCACTTCTTATGTATGTGGTTCATTGGCTCTTGCTTGTAATTATTACTTTTTATGTCTTCTGTGTGATAATCAGCATGCAACAGGTTGATCTCAACTTCTATGATGCTTCCAGCTCATCCACTGCTTCTCTTATCACTTGTTCGGACAAAACCTGTTCTTCTCTTAGTCAAGCAGCCTATGCCAAATGCTTTACTGAGAGTGATCAGTGTGGTTACTCATTCCAATACGGAGATGGAAGTGGCACAACCGGCCATTATGTATCTGATATGCTATACTTCGACACTGTCTTGGCTAACTCATTGGTAGCCAACTCTTCAGCCCCAGTAGTTTTTGGGTGAGTGGTTAAACACTGTTGAGGATATGTCAACATAAGTCCAGTTAATGGATTGAGTCAGATAAAGAGCTTTCCAATATGAAGGAATATTGATAAACTTATATTGAGAGTAAGAGTATTGGAGGTGTTCATTTGTTCAGTTTTGAGAAACACAACATCACTTAATTGGGTAAAAAACAGTTACGATCGGTTTCAATTAGGTTATTTTCGGTGAGTTCGTGGCAGTTTTGGAATTTTTTGGCGTGTTTTGATCGGTTTTAGTTGTTTTTGCGGTTTGGTCAGTTTTGAGAGCATAAGCTTAACCTGTAAACGGAAACATGTTTTTTTGTGGGTTTTGGTTTTGATTGATTCAGGTTAGGTTGGTTTTGGTTTGTTATTTTTTTGTTCGCCCCTACACAATATGTCCAATTGCTGTTTCATTTCTTATACTTCATTAATCTTCACTGTGCAAACAACTTAAGAATACAGATGTATTTTTGACATGAAATATCTAAACTTTTTATAATTTATATTAACTCGTTCGGCTACTTCGGCACTTGCTGTGTTACATGAAAATAGGTGCAGTACCTTGCAATCTGGAGATCTGACTAATGGATATAGAGCAGTTGATGGGATTTTCGGGTTTGGTCGACATGATCTTTCAGTTATATCACAACTGTCATCGCTTGGGATTACTCCAAAAGTTTTTTCCCACTGTTTGAAAGGAGATGAGACGGGTGGAGGGATTTTGGTTCTTGGTGAAATTTTGGATCCAAGAATTGTTTATACCCCACTTGTTCCATCACAGTACGTATATCCTTTTCTCTTTCCCAGAACTTATGATGTGCCATAGATTTTAAAACCATGCACCCTCAATTATCATTGGTAAGTACTCATTTCTTGTCTTGTTGCATTAATTATACCTCATTGCAAGCAGGTAAGTGCTATGATCTCCAACCATACCCCCTCTGTCCCAATTTAATTGACTTTTTAGAAAGGCACACACCTATTAAGGATCCCATTCCGAAGGGTTCTGCGCATTTCTACACGATATTCTATATTTATAGAAGTTCAACATCAATTAGGTACAGAAACATTTGATATGGGAAAAGGTAACGGTAAGTTTGGTGTAACAATATAAAATCTGCATTAGATTCCTAAAGACAATATTTTTGTGACAAAAAAGTATTGACTAAAACAACTAGTAAATCGGGATGAAGGGGATACTTTTAAGCAGCGTATAACCATTCTTAGAATTTGTTTTGTTTATCTGCAGGCCACATTATAATTTGTACATGCAGAGCATTGCTGTTAATGGGATATTATTGCCTATTGATCCAGGAGTGTTTGTTACATCTGAAAGTCGTGGAACCATTATAGATTCCGGCACAACATTGGCATATCTTCCCCTTGAAGCTTATGAACCCTTTATCAGTGCTGTAAGCTTGCCTGAGTATCTTTTTTCCTCTTTTCCTACTGCAGTGCTAATAAAATTTATGTTTTCCACTCTTTCTATATCCAAACATCATCTTTTTATACTTTGTTCACCATAAATATTAAATAGTATGTTTGCTGCATTGTTGTGCAGATAACAAGTATGGTTTCACAGTCTGCAGCTCCCTTTGTATCTAAATCGATGCAGTGCTATGTGGTTAATTCAAGGTCCGTTCACTCACAATTCTTTGCTCTATCTTTACTCTGGTAATTGTTTGAATGGTTGGCTGATCTGTTATCCTTCTTATTTTAAACAGCAGCAGCATAACTTATATATTCCCCACTGTGGTTTTGAACTTTGCTGGTGGCGCATCATTGGCTTTAAGACCTTTAGATTACCTCTTCCGTATGAGTTATCTTGTGAGTGTTGCAATATGCTCTACATTGATTTTTTTCATGCTTAATGTCATAAAACATACCTTTGAAAACTGGATCAATCATTTTATTCTAACAGGAGAGTAATGAAATTTGGTGCAATGGCTTTCAGAAACACGAGCTGGGTATTACAATTTTAGGAGGTCAGTGCTTGCATTGTTGTGTTTCGGCGTGTGCTTTAGTATTTCAGCATGAGTTTATCTCTTCATATGCTGTATGTGACCTTTGATATATCTTTTTTTCCTTTAATATGCCTATTTACCTCTGATATATTATGAGAAGAAAGACAACAAGAATAATTTCTTACTCTTTTACATGTGTGTTCTCTTGTGATAAAGGCCATTGTCAAAAATTAACTAATGTTTTGTTCCTACCTTTTGATCCTTAGATCTTGTTTTGAAGGATAGAATCATTGTTTATGATTTAGCTCATCAGAGGATTGGTTGGGCTGATTATGATTGTGAGTTTCATTTCAACTAGATCCTGTTCTCCTTATGAAAGTCATGTTTGAGTTTATGCTGAACAAACCTTCTGGATTAACACTAATTAATTAATTAATTATGCTCAAGTAAGGAATGATTTACATGCAGGTTCAACCTCGGTATATGTGTCTGTGACTTCTGGCAAGGATGAATTTACCAATGCTGGACAGTCGAGTGTCAACTGTTCACCATGTAATGCATTCCATTATATGCCTGTTTGGCTTCTGATGACTGGGCTTTTATTTTTGTAACATGGTTTGTTGTCATCCCATCCCTCCCCCCCCACTAGATAGTTAATAGGAATAGCATTAGGTTTCTTGTGGTGCATTTGGTTTTATCACGAGGCATAAACCTATACGTGAAGTTGTGCTTTTCATTCACGACATCACGTTGTAATTATAATTGAAGAGGCTTTAATTGCCTTGTTGAGTGATAAACACTTAAACAGATTAGTATTCAAGCTCATGGTTGTGATACTTCGCAAGTAGTTTTTTTAGTTGTAAAATCTTATTACGTTTGGACTTTGTTAATAAGATAGGTAAGTCTTTCTGGTAGTGACAAATTTGGTTAAAGTGAATGAATATTGTTGAATTCTCTAAATGTATGTCTTGGAATACTTTTTGATATATTAAAAGGAACAATATGTAAAACATGATGTTGTAATAGTATGTGCATTTATATTTGCTATAACTTGAAAAAAATCTGCCCTATTTTATCAGTTGGTTAAGCTAATAATGCTATCAAAGAAGTTAGGGTTTGGTAGAAAATTCGGCAGATAAGACTTGAAAGCAAAAAAATGTTTACCAATTGGATTTGTTGTGTGAGATCAGAGATGTGGTTCAAAGATACATCCCCTTCTTCTCCATAAGACGTACTTAGCTCAGACACAAAGGAAGGAGAGCAACATCTACCAAGTATTTTGTGCCAGCCGAAATTCATGCATAATATATAATGGCGGAAATCAAATAATCAGTGGAAAAGGAATTAGATTCCAATGCAAGTGGAAGAGGAATGAAAAAAGGGCAGGTGCTATTGAGCAGTCAAAAAGCAACGGACACCACTAATTCTAAATTTTCTAATAGAAAGAAATCTCAAAAGCAAAAATATGTAAGAACCAAAGAATATGTCTTGCTTACTAGTAAGTAGTAACACCATTCTCTGCGACTCTACTCCCAAACTCTGGTATCCATCACTTTTCTTTAAAGTTGCAAATTCTGAATTCCCAGTAAGTTGTTTGGGATCCGGGCTTGGCACGTCACCGGAATCGGTAACAGCGGTGGTCATCAGAATCCGGTGGTGGTCAGTCACTGGTTGGGAGTCAAGGGATGACCGGAGGTGGTTATCGGGCAATGGCGGTGGTCACTGTCGCCGGTGGTGGTGGTCTCCGGATGTGGTCGCCAATGGCCGGGTGGTGATGAGGTGATCGGACCAGATAAACGTAATTGATCGAGTTGGATAATTGTAACTCGTCGGATTCGGGTCATTATAATTGTTCGGTCAGGTAATTGTAACGGGTTAAATCGGGTAACTATAACTGGCCGGGTCGGATAACTATAACTGGACAACTGTAACTAGGGACTGGTCGGATAACTATAACGGGACAATTGTAACTAGGGACGGGTCGGATAACTGTAACTGAACGGATCGGGTAACTATAACTGCATGGATCGGGTAATTGTAACTGGATGAGTCGGGTGGTCACTGTGACCGCCTGTGGTCACTGCCCGAGTGGTCAAAATTCAAAAAATAAAGGTGGAAATCATGCAGCCTACACCTTTCAGAGTAGGAATACCTCTTGCTGTAACCGTGGCTGGTTTCATCATTGCTAGGATCACAAAGAAAAAGAGTTCTCTTTTGCGCTCTTCTCCAGTAAAAGTACACAACGATAAACGATTCTTCAGAATTCGTCACTTCTGGAACTCGTGTAAATGGAGACAGTGTCCATACGCTTGATTCATGATCTTCTTCTTAAAATCACACTTTAGCAGACAGCCATCCCAAATACATAGTATCATGTATATGATCGTCACAAATACTTAGCCTGTATTTGAATCTCAAGAAGAATTTATTGGTTTTCAAGATATGTTGCTTACGGATCACTTGAAAACAAGGATCACTTGCTCAAGAAGATAGAGAAGACATCATAGAGCTAAAAGTGGCTCTTGAGCAATTGCAGCATGAAAAGGAATAAACTACATAGTAGATTGGAAATGTCAGAAAAGCAAGATTCCCCCAAAGTAGTAAAACACAAAATATTCTCTTCACATCCCGATACCCGGTTAAAAACAATGTTTTGTTCACTCATGAGCAGTCTTGTTTTTTTGCTGTCTATAGGCAATAATCTCTTGATAAAATCTTCCATTCTTCACTTGTCTCGGTTCCCTCCAACCCCCAAAGTACGTTTTTTTTAATCTTATTACTTCACCAACTTAATAGGTCTACCAATTTTGTTTTTTCAAATTAGGCTCTAAACTTATAGAAATAGTTACTTGTTTTTTCATGTGATTTTGGGCTTGTATTCACCAAGTTTTGGGTATATTTTCAATTCTTTTCAGGGGTCTAGTGCAGATGCCTGTATTGCCCACCCCTCGGACTGGCCATGGGTTAGCTCCATCCATAAAAGCCTCCAGTGAGAGGAGGACTGTTGTCCAAAAACGTATTAGAGGATTCTATAGATCATATTTAGATCATTTTTAATAAATAAAAAAAGTAACTTTCTTTGCAGACTAATGCAGACATGGGAAGCATGGATGCTCACAAGGAATCGGTGCAAGAGCAAAAGTTCATCAGCGAAGTAAAGCAATAGAAGTGTAGAAAGAACTGATATACTTTGGTGGTGTAATGCTTGCTTGAGGTATGAGCTGATGAAAATGAGTCAAGTAGATGAACCCAACTCATACAGCTGAAAAACATGGAGAATTTGCGGATTTTGCATCTGAACATGAACTAAGGATGCATTCCTTGACGCCGGAGCACCATTTGGCTAATTGCTTAACCGTTCCAATCACATTCACATTCTGTTGCTTCTCGGGATTTAGTGCTTCTTGCTGCAAGAAACTCATGCATGCTTTAGTGTTCTTTTAGACCTGAGTTTAACTCATGTCAATTATGTTAGGAGTAACCATTTTCGGCATAGGACTGTGCAAGTACTAGGAGAAAATTAGGATAAAAGTTCAACCACCCCATCAACTTTAAATTTTCTGGCCGCAGATTCATCAGTTTACTCCATAGAACGACTCGTACTAGTATTGCAAACGACCTTCTTTAGTTTGAGCTTACACTACAAACACTGAAACACAAATGGTCATCTGTAACAAGTTTTGCAACAAAATAATTAGATATTAACAAGGCTTGTGTCAATTCTGTTACCCAGTATATCCTATATACCTGTCTTTTTAGGAATCTTGATTTAAAAAGCACCTTTAAATGGATTACAACTTAGAAGCTACTTGACATAAGTCTTCTCAAAATGTAGACATTAGAGTTAAGTAACATATCGCGACTCTTGATTTGTGAAACCTATTGATATACACGATTGAATGCATAGAGTCCTGAACATGTTCACGCTCAACTAAAACCTGTGTGTCAATTTTTATTATTATGTAAAGTTACCTCAACCCGAAACTATCATTGTACACCATACTACCCTCTGTATCACTTCAATAACAGAATTGGAGTTTTGTTATTGGAGCTAAGTAAAAAGATATCTTATAGCATAAGTGAAGGCGTTGTGTAACAGAAAAATAAAAATCAACGGGGAGGGGTATAAATAGGCTTAAACCAATTTTATTCCAAGATAATAAGAATGAACCCCGGGGAGGGGTATAAATAGGCTTCTACAAGAAACCCTAATCAAGCCCAAATTAATTAAATCCTAATTAGGCCCATACTAACTCTACTAAGTACTCTACTAATAAAAGGCCCAAACCAAAACATAACATTAACTTAATAATAATAAATAAACTATAAAGACAACCCGTAACCAGCCCACGGAAGTGGGCCCATGCCCGGTCCCGCCCCGTGCTCTTCCCGCTACCTATCAGAAGGCTACATAAATTCTAACAACGGTCATGAGTTTGAGATCTAACTAGTGATGTATTTATGTTCTTTCTGAAGACAAAGAAATACACTCAAACCTTTTACTATTCAATGAGCTACAACACATAACAAGTAGTGAAAAAGTTTATTTATTTATTCTTTTCAAGTCTAGGACTTAATATATCAATGTATGAGATGTTTCCAAGACATCTTGAGTTTTTTCATACATACCGGACTTAAATCTTCACTTCTCATTGCGTTCAAAAAAACCATTATAAGTTTAAGTTATCTTAGCTACTGGGATTTATGTTATACGGAGTATGTGTGAAGATTATGAAAATAAATAAGAAGTGATTGAAGTACTCTCTATGTTCAATCATAATCCAAAAAAAGAAGTGGTTCACTTGTCCGTTCATCTTTAATTTTCTGGCGATATTTTGGCTACTCAAACTTCGTTTGATTTCTCCTGTAAAGATGAGTTGGAGTATGAATAGAAGGAAAAAAGATACATAAATAGAAAGGACTGAAGGACGAGTAAGGAGGTGAAAAATGGATTCTTTTTTAGAGTTTCCAAAAGGTGTACATAAAAACTGGAAGTCAAACATTTTTTTTATGAAAAAAATACTTATCCATATCTCCAAGAGAACTGAAACTACAAAATGTGGCTCACATTCTTGGAAATTGGCATTATCCATCGGGCCACCCCCTTCTATAATTCCATCGTTTAAAATCCTTCAACAAAAAAAAACTCATCCCAATCGCTCAATGCCACAACTTATATCTTGCATGACCATGGGTCACCTCCTCCATTATCCCCTCAAGCCAACACAGTCTTTCCCCTCCATTTGTGTAACCAGTTAATGACTTTCTCTCTTTCTGACTCTTTACACACTGATACACACAAACTGCTCTGTAATTAAAGACTGAATGTGAAATGCACAGGAAGCAGACCCTCGTCCGTCAAGTGGATTAATTCAAGAATATTACTCTGTTGCTGTTCATTGTCTCCGGAGGTCACTATAAAAACCCTGTCTTTGCAGAATGAGGGCAGAAGGGCCTTTATGGGTTGTCTTGTTTTAGCTGCAGGTAACCATATCCCTTTCATGGGTTTGTTTTTCGGGTTGTATTCCCCGAATTTGCTTTTAGTTGCCTTAATAATGAAAAAACGCCTTATAATTTGATGATCTTTTAATGACATGCTAATTATTGTGATAAGGAAGTAAGTTTGAAATTCTACTGGCCTTGAAAGTTGCCTAAATTTTTGTTCAGCTGCTAGCATTCATCTCTGTGATGCGGCCAGGGCTGTTAGCACAAGTAGAAGAGCTGTGAGATTCTCATTTCATCTGGATTAGAACATTAATGGACAATCACTGTTTTTATTTTTCATTTTAATTTATTTATCGTTTCATGGTGCAGCTTAGAGGAGCAAAAATAGCTGAGAGTGATTATACAGCTCTTCCTAATGGACTAAAGTCAGTGTTTGAGTTTTGCTTTCAAACTTGTTTCTGGTTAAATGGAATTTAATGTTTTAATGTTTAGGGCTTAAGTCCTAATTACTATAATTACAGGGCCCATGTTAAACCGTGGCTGAACACCCTTTGACAGCCCAAAATGAAAAACCACATGAATAGTTTTCCATTTGATCATCTCCTGTTCACTCCATTGCTAGATACAATTGCTTGTGGTGCTTTTCCTGTAATTTGCTTGACTTTAATGGTAGGGACTATTTTGTAGGTATTATGATGTAAAGGTTGGTTCAGGACCAGAAGCTGTGAGAGGATCTAGAGTTGCAGTATGGTTTCGGCAAAGCTGTTATTATTAAAACTTGAGTACATTGATTTCATTTACCCCAAAGTGCCTAAAGAACCGATTGAAATGTTGTATGGTATAAGCTTATTATAGGTCCACTATGTAGCTAAATGGCGAGGAATCACATTCATGACGAGCAGACAAGGAGTGGGTGTTGGAGGTGGAATGGTATGACTAGTAACCAGTTTTGTTACCTGTCATTGCCAAATCAGTGTGAAAATAAGTACAGAGGATTGTTATTGCATCTAACTAAAATAGTACAATTTACATGATGAAGCCTTATGGATTTGATGTCGGGCAATCAGAGCGAGGGACAGTCCTTAAAGGATTAGACCTTGGCGTTCAAGGCATGAGAGTTGGAGGACAGGTTAGACTACTTTCTATTATAGTTTGTTGGACATCCTGGAACTATATGGACTGGTGAGTATTTGAAACGCTGTGTAAAATATTGTTTATATCTCAAAGAACCTTCTATTTATATCTCTAATTGTTGAATAGTAAACTACTTTCACTGTTATGACTTTGGAATTACAAATTCATGATTTCTAGTCGCTTATATGAAAAATAATGGGCCTAAACCTGTAAGAAAATGAAAGTTAAAATGATTTATCTGCTCTGTAAGAAAGGCCATGATAATATTTGAGGGTACATTATCATTTATCTGCTGTATAAGAAAGGCCATAAGGCTGTCCTTTTGCAGCGGTTACTGATTGTTCCTCCTGCCCTAGCTTACGGAAAGAAAGGGGTTCAAGAAATTCCTCCAAATGCGACAATTGAGGTGATCTTTTTATTATTTATGCACATTTCCCCCCCTTTTGTAATGATACTAGCTGGTTTTATAAGGCGTGTTTTGTATGTGAGATTTTATAAGACTCAATCTGGCTTGTGCCTCAAACTTGATATCCTTTATACGATAATACTTAGAACATCAGAGGCATTTAAAACATACACCTCAATATGAGTACAATTTAATAACCAAACAAATTATGAGATTAGACTCATAATCCACTAAGGATGTTTTTCTGTAATTCCTCCAAGACCAGACTAGATCAGATCAGACCAAAACAGTTCAGACCAGACCAGACGAGACCAGCAAATTACAGTCCAAGTAAAAAATCCTAATTAACAATTAGTGGCTCACTCATCCCATATACCGTGACATGTTCATCCTCATCCATATTTTTCTTTGGAGAAATTTACATCAATGTCGCTAAAACATAGAGTTTTAGTCACTTAGGCATAGTTCTCATTGCCGAAAATCGATACCAGTAACATTCAATGATCAATATACTGAAGTTGTCAATTATACCCCCAGCACAGAAAAATTGTATACCGAGTATTTAATTTAGGGATCCCTGAATTATATTACATGATACTATCTATATTGACACTGCCACCACCCGCCACTGCCGCAGACCAGTCCCACCGTAAATGACTCCACCAAGAAGAGTTAAACTTACTGGCTCACTACAGCAAATGGTGGTTGGCGCCGCCATAATGACTGCCAAGTGCCAACGCCATAACCATGATGGTGACCCATATTTGCCACAAAAGGCTACCATGACTATGATCTTGTTTTATCTAGGTTAAGGAGGGGGTGTAGTGTCATTATAAAATACTAAATGATAATGATCTTCATTTTGTACCAGTGAGTAGATGGTAACTTAGTAAACAAGCATAGGTGGTGGTTCTATATTGGGAATTGAAATGGCTTTTGTTCCAGTGCCAAGTGATATTTTTTGCTTGTTTTCATGTTTTGGTTAGGGCTTGTTACTGCATACATTTTGATAGTACGGAGTATTACATTACCAGTAAATCTTAACCAGATCTTTAGTAGCTTCTGATCTGCCTTTTTTGTTGGTCTTGTTACTTTTTGGTACTTATGATGCTCTTATTTTTGTACAGTTGGATGTTGAACTGCTATCAATCAAACAAAGTCCATTTGGGTGAGCAACATAAGCGCAAATGCATTTGATTTACAATCAAAGTCCATTCCAGTCATAATAAAACACTTCTTCTGCATGCAGGACTCCGGTTAGAGTCATTGAAGGATAACTGGTGTTCAAAAGTTACGGAGGTTAGGGTCCGGGCGTTTAAAAAAATTACATTGTAGAGACCAAATCTTAGAATGCCAATGTACTTTTTACCGATAGTAAATGTTTATGCATATATATGGGGTTGGGGTGTTTGGATCTTCTTCTTAAAACTGTTCAGCAGAAGCAGATATTGGAGTGTTTGGGTGAGAGTGCATAAGTATTTTTGGGTGCTCCAAATTACTCGTAGAAGCAGTTTTTTAGAAGTTAGGGAGACTTCTTCTTAAAAACGGATTCGGCTTTCTGCTTTAAAAAAAAACAGAAAGCAGAATCATTTCCAAACACCATTTACATACATTGTATACTTTTTTTTGAAAGAACTGTCAAATTAGCCCTCTAAAGTATAATAGAAAAGTCAATTAAGCCCTTGAACTATAAAAACACCTAATTGAGTCCTTGAACTATATAAAAACAATCAAATTTGTAATTTAGACAGTTGACTCCCGATTAATCGCTGAGTTGATTACATGTCAATCCAGGTGGCCTATTATTTTTTATTTTCCTTTTCTTTTTCCATTTTTTCCCTCTTCTTTATTCTTCCTTTTCCTGCCCGCCCCACCACCCCAGCCCTTTCTCTGAAAATGCCAGGAAGATGACATTTTTACACTTGAAAATGTCAAAAATTTTCTCGTAAACTGTCATCAAGATGACATTTCTGACACATGTTGGCATTTTTTGGGTGATCGAAGATGGTGGTGTCAGGAGGTTGCTGAGGCGGCAACATAGGCCTGCATATTTTATTATTATTATTATTATATTTTTTTACATTATTTATTTATTTTATTTTTATTTTTTAAGTTTTCTATGTTATAAATTTTAATATTTCGAATTTTGTTATTTTTATTAATTTTAAATAATTTTTATTTCTTGTTTTTATTTTTTTAACATTTTTACTATAAATAAAGTGATGGAGTATATGGCCCGAGAACACCCGGCCCACAGACTCCTACTACTCCTTTAGAGGCCCAACAGGCCCAGAAGGCCCAACAGGCCCAAATCACGGCGCCCAGAGTACCAAGCAGCCCACAAGACGCACCAGGGGTGCCTTCGGCCCCCTGGCCGAAGGCTCCAAACTCTCACAGAACCGATATTTCAAACAAACAAAGGAACTGGGAGAAAACGGCGAAAACAGTAGCCCTCGGCACCTGGAGCCCTCGGCACTCAGGGGCCCTCAGCACTAAGAGCCCTCGGCCAGTCCTCTGCAGCCGAGGGCACCTCTCCCGACATAATATCCGCCTCACATGCGTGCAGATCACCGTACCATGTACAGACGTCCCATCCAACAGCCGCATTAAATGCGGCCACATGCGGCTGCCAACGCCAACCAGTTGAGGTGATCCCTCGGCCAATAGGCGCTTGACACGTGTCCCTGCCCGGCATTTATTGCTACTATAAATAGCACCCCATTTCCCCATTTGTAACCACGCTGAAAACGCCCCGCATTTATAATACACTCTGATGGATGGTCTACCCGGGGGTATATATCCGAAGGGTTATTACGGGGAATAACTTAGAGAGAAGTCAGAGTAAGTGAATAAAAGTAGAGAGAGAGTGTATTCAGTATGAATGCCGTTTTCAGCGTGTTATGACTTGGTTACAAATGGGGAAATGGGGTGCTATTTATAGTAGCAATAAATGCCGGGCAGGGACACGTGTCAAGCGCTCATTGGCCGAGGGGTCACCTCAACTGGTTGGCGCTGGCAACCGCATGTGGCCGCATTTAATGCGACTGTTGGATGGGACGTCTGTGCAGGGTACGATGATCTGCACGCATGTGAGGCGGATATCTTGTCGAGTGAGATGCCTTCGGCCATAGAGCAGTAGCCGAGGGCTCTTCCACCCGATGGCACCCTGGTGCCGAGGGCTCATAGTGCCGAGGGCTACTATTTTCGCCGTTTTCTCCCAGTTTCTTAATTTGCTTGAGAAACCCGTTCTGTGAGAATTTAGAGCCTTCGGCCGGGGGGGGCGAAGGCACCCCTGGCGCGTAGTGCGGGCTGCTTGGTACTCTGGGCGCTGTGATTTGGGCCTTCTGGGCCTGTTGGGCCTTCGCTGGAGTAGTAGGAGTCTGTGGGCCGGGGGTTCCCGGGCCATATACTCCATCAGGAGTCCCTCACTCCTTTTGCCGAAAGGTACTTGAGGGAAAAGGAGTAATTTGTGCTTGCCCTTTGATGTTGTCCCGTCGTGATCTCTGAAGTTGGTGAGGAGTTGTTGCTTTTATGTCCCTGCCGAAGGCAGTCCCTCAGTTACCCACATGTCGGGACTTGAGGGCTTGCTTTGTTGTTTGTTGGAATTTCACAGATTTTGTAATTTAATGATTTTCCCGAGGGGGTCCTCCAGTCCCCCACTCCTTGAGGCACTTGTAGAGTGGTGAAAAGGAGTAAAGTAGTTATGTTACTGTTGTGGGCCGAAGGCTGACGCTTTTCGTTTCATTTTGGGGGGATGCCTCGTTAAAAACCTCATTAGGAAAAACCCTTTGGGAAAAAATCCTAATGAGGGAAAAAGAGTGCACCGAATTCCCCCAATGATGAATCGAAAATGTCAAACCTTGGTATAAAGTGGAGAATGACGGGAATGCCGAAGGCTCTCTCTTCTGAGGGCTCCTGTGTTGATTAGCCGAAGGCTTGCTGTTGATGTCCTGGTGGTGCCGAAGGGGAGCCCCTCAATCCAGGGATCGAGGGCCTGCCAGATGAGGGCAGCAGTGAAGTTGTTACCGGGGGTCCACTGTTTGTTGATGAGTTGGTGATGAAGATACCCGAGGGCTCCCATTACCTGTGTGCCATGGGCCATCCGTCAATGAGGCACTCCCCGGGGGCTACCCGGTTTTGCAGTGCTGAGGGGGAAACCCCGAGGGGTGCCCCTGATATGCAGCCCTGGGGATCTGAAGGAGTGATCCCGAAGGCGTCTGTTATGTGCTGTGTGGGGCGCAACCCGGGGGCACTTCTGAGTGAGTGTACCCGGAGGCTATCCTTGATGAAGTGGAGTGAAGTAGAAAACCCGGGGGCTTCCAGAATATAGCCGTTGGAAATATAGCCGTTGGAATATGTAACGACAGGATATAGCCGTTGGGGGGATGGCACGCGTGGCGTGTGATGGTTGGCTATTCGTGGGCGGCGTCACCGGTTGGGTGAAACGACGGTGTGTAATGATGACGGTCCGTCCGGAGGCCCGGAATCCAGGCCCAAGCCCGAATTCCATCGCCTATAAATACCCCAAGGCCAGAGCCATTCCCGCTGTGCGAACTCAGTTGTTTTAGCGAAGCTCTACCAAAAAATCTAGTGAGAGAAACTCCAGCCTTCGGTCCTAACTCAGCTTTCAAGGTCAGTGCTCCCTGCCTTTCTCCTTCTAGCATAGCTGTACTGTGCCCTTAGGTTAGGAGATAGAAAAGTTAGGAAACACTACCGTCTACGAGCCCTCGAACTAGAGTGCGAATGTCATCCCAGAGCGATTCTCAAGATATCTCGAGGATGCCCTCGATGGAGGACGAAGGCATCTCCGACGTGGAGTCAAGCAGTGGTCAACCCTCGGATGGTGGTGATGCAGCCCTGGCCCAGGAGGTCCAGAAGGAACTCATTGCGGAGGTTGAAGCCGAGGGCTTCGAGCAGGAGTGCGAGGATGAAGACTTAGCCCTCGCATGGCAAACAGCGGAGGATGTGGCGCAGAATGAGAGCTCGAAGGTTACGATAGCTATTCTCCCCCCTCGGGGTTCTGGGGAAGCCAGTAGCTCGAGGCCGCTGGATCCGATACCTCTGAGGGCGGTTTCCGGTTTGAAGAAGAAGAAGGCCGCAGCCAAGAAGAAGGAGAGGGCCGTCGATCAAGGAAAGCCCGTGGACATGCCCGAGGGGTACAGTTGGCTGAACACTGAGGCCCTCGAGATCAAGTCGAAGGCTGATAGGGCAGATCTGTACGTGACTCAGCTGCACGTGGGGCCCTCGGCCGAAGTGGTGGAGCCAGGTCCCGACGACGTGTTGTCCAGGGCGCCCGAGGGGTGTATCGCTGTTCACGTCCTCTCGGTTTCCATGGGACTTAGGTTCCCTCTGCACCCGTTCCTCCGGGAGTATTTGAGGTTCGTTGGTTTGGTCCCCTGCCAACTCACGCCCAACAGCCACTCCTACATTGCGGGGTTCCTCCAGCTCTGCAAGTCCCGAGGGGTGAAGCCCAGCCTGGATCTATTCTTCCAGAGCTTTAATCTGTGCCGGGGGGGGGGGGGGGGCACGAAAACGGCGAGGGGTACGCCAACCTGCAGCAGATTACCCGCTTCAAACTATTCTCCGATGCTCCTTCTTCCAACAAAGGATGGAGGGAACGTTGGTGCTACGTAAAGTTGGATGAGAGCCCATTCCCGAGGGAGCTGCATGATCGATTCCGAAGGCACGAAAAGATCAGGAGTGCCGCTCTCGAGAAAGACGACCTAAAGCTGGCCAAGTTCCCGGAGGGGAAAAATAAGAACGTGGCGATCAAAGACTGCACCCTCGAGGAGGATTTATACACCCTCGGGTTCCGGAGGTACCGCTTCATAGGGGAGACCGATGAAAAGTACCCTCCCTTCAAAAAGGCCTTCGGAGGGGCCGGAGGTAGGAGCCGAGGGCTTTAGAATTTTGTACTTAGTTTTTTTTTTTGCTTGGATGTTACTGTCCCTTCGCTTAGACCCGTCGGACTAACCCTTTGTCTCCTTTGTGCAGGTATCCCCGTCTCTATGGTGAACGTAAAGGGCCTTGCTCGCCTGAAGAAACAGGACCCGAAGGGGTCGGGACAGGGCATCCAGAAGCCCGCCACTGCCCTCTTTAAGAAAGCCGAGGGCGATGCCGCTGCCGGCAAGAGGAAGGCAGTGACCAAGGGGTCCCCCCCGGCTACCAAAAAGCCGAAGAAGGGGGATGTCGCCGAGAAGGAGCCCCCGGTCATTATTGCTGATGAGCACCCCGCCTCCGGGGTGCATGTGGAGAAGCCGTCGGGTGAAACGCCGGCGGGGGCAGAGGAGTTGCTGCCTGAGGTCCTCCAAGTCTCGTTCCCGAGGGGGACATCCCTGGCCAGCAGCGCTGTCGACCCGGGGGCCATCTTGAGGGGCATAACCCCTGAGACTGATAGGGCTGCCCTCGGGGCTTATAACGATGCGGCCCTCGAGGACCACATCCTCCGCTCCTCCCTTTCTGTAAGTGTTTACTCAGCTTTCCTCCTTTTCTCCTTTGATTATATTGTGCAATTGTTTTTAACCATTTTGGTTGTTGGTCTGCAGGCTTGTCTAGCCCTCGGTGAACATGCCCGGAGGCTTCAAGAATGGCGCCTCCATAAAGCCGAGCAGGATGCCAAGATGAGGGAATGCATCCTCAAAAATAAAGAGGCGGTGAAGCTGGGGGCCAGGCTGGAAGAGGAGCTTCGGCAAATGGAGCAGAGATTGGAGGCCGCAGAGAAGGGCAAGGCTGACGCTGAGGCCGCTGCTGAGGAGGCCAGGAGGGCTGCCAAAGAGGCTGAGGACTCCAAGGCGCTGGCCGTCGCCAAGGCTCGGGAGGAAGCCGTTGATGCCTTCGTCGCCGAGGGCTGGAGGGCTGAGGGACGCAAGATGTGGCTGTCCTCGGTTGTGGAGGCACACGTCGAGGAATGGGCCGAGGGCCCTGGGTGGGAATGGATGGCCCGGAAGGGCAGAGAGTACTATGAAGCCGGCGAATTCTTCACCCAGGCCCTCATCTACCGGAGGATGGCCCGGCATTTGGGCATTGAGCAAATGGACTTCTCCCCCTCGGCGTATGGCCTTCCTCCCCTGCAGCCTGATGTCCGTCAGTCGCTCCCGGAAGGTGTTCAGAGGCCCGACCTTGAGGACACGGAGTTGAAGAATGAGGCCGAGGACGACGCTGTCGAGACCGGAGCGGAGGCATCATCGAGGCCGGCTGCAGAGGGCGCCCCGGTGAATGATGCTGTTGTAGTTGTAGAGTGACTTTGTAAAAAATCCTTGAACATATTTTGTAATGAACAACTTTGATCCTTCGGCTTCGGCCTGTTTGTAAATTTCACACTTACCCTGTTTTTGATGAATGCATGCTGCCTCCGGGCTTTTCATATTCGAATGCGCCTTATGTTTTGAATGTATGCCTTCTCCTTTGAATGTATGTTCTCGGTATTTTTGAATGTATGTCTAGGACTTAGAATATTTTCCGATTGTAGCCTGCCCTTGGAAGCCTTCGGTAGTTGGGCACCCTCTGCTGGATATGCAACCGAGGGTTCTGTAGGAATTAGGACTTAGAAAATTTCTCTAAGTGTAGCACGGCATGGGGCCTTCGGGTGTTTGTAGTAACCCACTTCCTAGGACTTAGAAAAATTCCTGAGTGTAGGTTTTCCCTTGTGAGCCTTCGGGTATCTGTAGTAACCCAATCCATAGGACTTAGAAAAATTTCTAAGTGTGGATCTTCCCTTGTGAGCCTTCGGGAAATGGGATCCCTTCCTGATGTGTGAATCTTGGACCGAGGGCCCAATGTTCAGGACTCAGAGATTTTTTGCAAGTGTAGTATGTCATGTAGCCTTCGGCTACTGTGGAGCCCCACCTGTAATATTGAATAGGCCGGGGGCTAATTCTTTAGGACTTAGGAAATTTTCTTGAGTGTTGATTCCTTGTGCACTGTAGCCCTCGATTGATAGGTAGCCTTCGGCAATTAGGTCCCTTGAGATGAAGGGGAAATATGTAGGACTTAGAAAATCTTCTAAGTGTAGAGTTTCCCTTGGGAGCCTTCGGGAGATGGCATCCCTTCATGATGTATGAGTAGTTGTCCGGGGGGGAATATGTGGGACTTAGAAAATCTTCTAAGTGCAAAATCTCCTTTGGGAGCCTTCGGGAGATGGCGTCCCTTCTTGATGTAAGAGTAGTTGACCGAGGGGGAAAATATGCAGGACTTAGAAAATATTCTAAGTGTAAAATCTCCCTTGGGAGCCTTCGGGAGATGGCATCCCTCCTTGATGTATGGCCTTCGGCTGTCACATTCCTCTAGCTGCAATACTAACTGAGCCGGGGGCCCATCTTTAGGACATAGAAATTTTCTTTGTTTGCAGGTGTTGTTGTATCGCATAGCCTTCGGCTATTGTATTCCCCTAGCTGTAGTGTTGATTGAGCCGGGGGCCCAATTTTGGGACTTGGAATTTTTCAAGCGTTGTTTCTTTGTGTAGCCTTCGGGTGATAGGTGCCTTTTGACTCTACATTACTTTGCGAGATGCCCGGGGGCTGCTCCTTCAGGACTTAGAATTTGTTCTAAGCATAAATTGATGTTGAGTCCTGTTGTTGTGAAGAAAGCCAATGAGGAGTGTGTGCCCTCGGCATACACTTTAAAAGTTGTAGAATTTGACCCTTGTCATGGGGAAAGGGCCCTCGGTATTTGTGCATAACAGATGCCTTCGGTGTCTGTTTGAAGTACCGTTTAGTGGACCTTGGATAGTCCAGTCCCTTTGTATTGTGGAAGCCTTCGGTGTTTTTGTGACCGGAGGTGACCAGGTAGTGGTCTTTGCCGTTTCCTGATGATATTTGTTTGAGTAGTATCCTTCGGGAAATAGGAGCCTTCAGTTACCGGAGGTGTTCCCGTGGGGAGCCCTCGGTTTGTTGTGATCTGTTGGAGTGTACTCTTTGATTTCTCGCTGAGTCTACTCCCCTTCACCCCCTCTATTTTTTTTTTTGGTTGGTGGTGAAGGGAAGGCATCAAGAAACTTGGTTTCTTGGTAAGGTTGGGCCTATTAGGAGACCATCAGAATACACCAATGGCTCTCCTCCCTCGGGTTAACCTTCCGAGTGCCGAGGGGATCGAGGGACGTTTCCTGGGCACAAGATATGGTGGTCCGTAACCTGCCTCCCCTTGGGGGATGGCGCGGAAAGCGCCTCATTTTTGAAAGTCGTCCCCTCGGCGCTAGACATAGTCCGTGGCCTGCCACACCCTTGGGGTGGTGGCGCGGGGAGCGTTTCGGTTTGGAAGTCGAATCCTGGGCATTTCTCATGCCTGTCATACCCTGGGGGTAGTGACGCGGATAGCGTTCCGTTTTTGAAAGTCGAATCCTGGGCATTTCTCATGCCTGTCATACCCTGGGGGTAGTGACGCGGAAAGCGTTTCAAGGAAGGGTTTTCATTTGCACACTAGTTGCAAATGGCCGGGGGCACTACATGCCGCCGGCACCGATGGTGGCGCCTTCGGTATATGCGTCCTCGTGGGGTACGGCTTTTAGAAACAACACTTGGTGTTAGTTTCGATGTGTAGCCCCCGGTACTTGGTACCGAGGGGTCTTCTGTAAGAACACTTGGTGTTCTCTTTTGTTGTAGTTGATGTAGGCGTCTATCCTCGGTACTTGGTACCGAAGGGTCTTCAAATGAAACACTTGGTGTTTCCCAACAGATGTTTGGAAGTTGATAGGGGAGCATATCCCTGGCACTGGGTGCCGAGGGGTCTTCTTTGGAACATTTTTCTTCGTTTCGATGTTTGATGATGGAGGTGTACCCTCGGCACTTGGTGCCGAAGGGTCTTCTGTAGGAACACTTGGTGTTCTCATCTTTTCTTTTTTTACGTTGAAGGTGGGGATGTACCCTCGGCACTGGGTGCCGAAGGGAAATGAAACACATGGTGTTCCTTGTTGTTGGTGATAGGAGTTCCTTCCCTCAGCACTTGGTACCGAGGGGTCTTGACTGAAAACACGTGGTGTTTTCACCGTTGTTGTAGGTGTTGATGGTGTCCGCCCTCGGCACTTGGTGCCGGAGGGGGTTCTTCTCGTGGTGAGGCCTGGGGCCTGTAGTCAGTATGAGGGCTTGATGTCTTGAATGTATCTTCATTCTTCGAATTGGAGGCCTTGGGCCACAGGATAGTACATTCACTAGTTATGAGGGCTTGGCCGCTCTTACATTATTGATAAAATTTAACTAAATGGTGTACATTCCAGTACCTAGGGACTTCTTTCCCATTGGGGCGTTTGAGCTTGTAGGTCCCGGGTTTGATGATGGCTGCTATGATGTAGGGGCCTTCGAATTTTGGTGCCATTTTTCCTCCCTCGGTTGGTTGGCTGGCTTCCCTCCTCCGGAGGACATAGTCCCCCACTTGAAATTCTCGGGTGCGAACTTTGGCGTCGATGTAGCTTTTAACTTGCCTTCGGTAGTTCTCTGCCCGGATGAAGGCCTGCTCCCGGCGTTCTGAAATGAGGTGGAGGTCGAGGGCCATGTTGCTGTCGTTGACCTCGGGGTCATATTGGATCACCCTTCGGGTGGGAAGGGTGACTTCCATAGGAGCTTTGGCTTCAAAACCGTAGCAGAGGGAGAAGGGTGTTTCACCTGTTGCTCGCCGAGGGGTGGTGCGATAGGCCCAAAGGATGTTGTGGAGTTCTTCCACCCAGCCACCACCCTCGGCCTCCAGCTTCTTTTTGAGGCCCTCGAGCAAGGTCCGGTTGGCGTTTTCTACTTGCCCGTTGCCTTGAGGGTAGGCAACGGAGGAGAAGGTGTGTTTGATGCCCCATGCCTCCAGAAGGGCACAGAAGGGGGCTGCCTCAAATTGCGTCCCATTGTCGGAGATGATCTGCTGGGGGACGCCGAACCTTGTGAGGATGTTCTTGAGGACGAAGTGACGGCACTTCGCCTCTGTGATGCTGGCGAGGGGCTCAGCCTCCACCCACTTGGTAAAATAGTCGACGGCCACAATGATGTATCTGTTGTTGGAGGTACCCCTCGGCAGAGGGCCCACGAGGTCTATCCCCCATCGAGAAAAAGGGACAGATGTGCTGATGGGGGCATAGTTGACCGCTGGCCTGCCGGGGGCTTTCTGGAAATGTTGACATGCGGTGCACCTCCGGGCAAGGTCAGCACAATCTCTGGCCATGGTCGGCCAGAAGTAGCCCTGGAGAATGAGCCTTCGGGACATGGAGAAGGGTCCCTGGTGAGCTGAGCAAGTGCCACTGTGCACTTCCTCCATTGCGACCTCGGCCTCATCTTGATGAAGGCATCGAAGTAGCGTGCCGTTGTAAGATCGTTTGTAGAGCCTCCCATCTTCGATGGTGTAGCTAGGAGCCCTCAGTTTTGTCAGTTTAGCGCGGCTCTCATTCTCGGGTAGCTGCCCTGTGGAGATGAAGGCGGTGATATCTGAGATCCAATCCTCTTGGCGTTGTTGTATGTTCATCACGGGGCTTGCATGGATACTTGAGAGGCTGAGTTCCTCAATTTTGGCAATTTTGGAGATATGCTCGGGGGAGTCAGCCGAGAGCTTAGATAATATGTCGGCCTCGGAGTTCTGAGCCCTCGGTATTTGAGTGAGAGAGTGTGCCTCAAATACCTTAAGCAACTTCTTGGCCGCTTCCTTGTACTGTTTCATTCTCCCCTCCTTGGCCTCATATTCTTCGGAGATTTGGCCAACGACCAACTTGGAGTCGCATTTGATGTGGATCTGCCGAGCCCTCATGTTGGCAGCCAGCCGAAGGCCACATAGGAGGGCCTCATATTCGGCCTCATTGTTGGAGACTTTGAAGGAGAAGCGGATTGCATAGTAGGCCCTGAAGCCCTCGGGAGTAATGAGGACTACCCCTCCCCCACATGCTTTGGTCGCGGAGGAGCCATCAGTGTAGAGGGTCCACCAGTCGTCCGAGGTAGCCGAGGGCTCCCCGTCCGTGGCTGCCCTTGCGGTACACTCCGTCACAAAGTTCGCCAGGGCTTGGCCCTTGATGGCAGGCCTTGGGCGGATGTCAATGTTGTACTGGCTCAAGAAGATAGCCCATTTCACCATGCGGGAGGAGCTGGTGGGGCTCCTCATGAGGGCGCCGAGGGGTTGATGAGTGAGGACCTGAACTGGATGAGCCTGAAAGTAGTGGCCCAACTTCTTGACAGTCCAAACGATGGCCAACACCGTTTTTTCCACAGGGGAGTACCTGAGCTCGGCCTCCCTTAGGGTCTTGCTAACGTAGAAGATGGCATGTTGGATGCCGTCTTCCTCCCGGATGAGCACAGAGCTGATGGCCGCCGGGCTAACCCCAAGGTAGAGGTAGAGGGTCTCCCCTACCTTGGGTTTGGAGAGCACAGGAGGTGAAGATAGATATCTTTTGAGCTCGTCGAAAGCCCCCTGGCATTCTGGAGTCCATAGAAAACCAGCCGTCTTCCTCATGATCTGGAAGAAGGGTAGAGACTTCTCCGCCGATTTGGATAGAAAGCGGTTGAGGGCTGCCAGGCAGCCCGTCAACCGTTGAACTTCCTTCACGTTGCGTGGGGGCTCCATGTTGATGATGACCTGGATCTTTTCGGGATTGGCCTCAATACCCCTTCGGCTCACCATGTAGCCCAAGAATTTGCCCCCTTGGACGCCGAAGGTGCACTTCTTCGGGTTTAGCCGAAGGTTGAATTTTTGCATGATGGCGAAGATTTCCCGGAGGTCGTCAGCATGGCTGGAAGATTGTTTGCTTTTGACGATCATGTCGTCAACGTAGGCCTCCATGGTGCGCCCCAGGACGGCTTGAAAGACCCGGGCCACCATTCGGGTGTAAGTGGCCCCCGAGTTCTTTAGGCCGAAGGCCATCACTAGGTAGCAGAAGATGCCCTCGGGAGTCATGAAGGCAGTTTTTTCGGCGTCTTCCTCGTGCATATAAATTTGGTGGTACCCTCGGAAGGCATCGAGGAAGGACATGATCTCACACCCTGCGGTCTCATCCACCAATTTATCAATGTTTGGTAGAGGGAATGGATCCATAGGGCATGCTTTGTTGAGATCAGTGTAGTCCACGCACATGCGGAAGGTAGGGGGCTTCTGTGCGAGGACTACATTCGCCAGCCATGAGGGATATTTCACCTCCTTGATGTGCTTGATGGAGAGGAGCATGGCGACCTCCTTCTTCACAAATTCCCTCCTCTCGACGGAGAGGGGTCTTCTTCGTTGTTGCACCGCTTTTGCCGAGGGGTCCACCGAGAGGCGGTGGGTGATGACCCTTCGGCTAATTCCCGGCATGTCCTCCGGCCCCCATGCAAAAACAGTGGAGTAGGCGCGGAGGGCGTCGGTGATACCGGTCTTCAAATCTTCAGGGAGCTGGGCTCCAATCTTCACGACTCTCTCCGGCTGGGCCGGATCGAGCGCAAAGTCTTCTACGTCCTCGGCCGGTTCAGCCCTCGGCCTTCTTTCCTCTTTGTCGACGGTTCCGGTGATGGTGTCAACACGGAGTTCCGTCTTGCTTACCTTCTTAGTGACCTGAAGATAGCAGGCGCGGGCAATTTTCTGGTTCCCCCGGGAGTAGCCAATGCCCCCCTCGGCGGGAAACATGAGGCAGAGATGCCTCATGGAGATGATGGCTTCGAGGTCCTCGAGGGCTGGCCGGCCGAGGATGATGTTGTGAGCGCAGTCAATGTTGACGACGACGAACTCCACTTCGAGCTGGGCTCTATGGAGCTCGTCGCCGAAGATCACCGGGAGGGTTATTACCCCCTCGGAATCAATAGTATCGCCGGTGAAGCCGGCAAGAGGGGTCTTAATGGGCCGAAGGGACCCCCTCTCCAGATGCAGCTCTCTGAAGGTGCTGAGGTACATTACATTGATGGAGCTGCCCGTGTCAATGTAAGTTCGGTGAATAATGGTGTCGTTTATCTCCGTCCGAATCACCAAGGCATCCCTGTGAGGAGAAGAAGTAGGAGGGAGATCTGCGTTGGTGAAGGTGATGGGTTCCTCCCTCAATCGCTTTACCGGGGGCATATGAGTGACTTCCCCTACGTAAAGCGATTGAGCCCACTTCTTTCGTTGGCTGGTGAAATCGCCCCCTGTATT